TGTCAGCAAGGACTTTTCTTCTCACTAGTTCCCAAAGTCTTCTTTCCCCTGAGGTCTTCTTTGATATGAATACCCTTTTAGGGATCTGCTGTGTGCCAATTGTGTGTTTTCCTAAGCTAATGTCTCCATGTTGATCTAGGCACTGAAAAAAAAAAAATCAACAAAATAGGAAAATAAGATTGCTATTAAAAGAAAAATAATCCTTTCCATTACGCTGCCTCCCATATGTTTTAATGATAATGCATTTCTCTGAAATCCTCTCAAAACCCAGTTCAGTATGTGGATCCCTTCAGTCACATTTTTTTAAATGTATGTACCTAAAGACAAATTCAGAAATTGAGATTTTTATAATTATGCCATTACACTGACATATTTTCCTTACTGTGTCTGCCTGTATTCAGGCAGACACGGTAAGGAAAATAGGAATAAAATAGAGGAATAAAACTATTGGGCATAATGTATTTGTCCTGTGATTTGGAATGCTGATTCTAAACTGAGAATTCGGCCAGTTAAAGTAAAATGATTTTTCATTGTGCTTAGACTAAAACTAAGACTAATTTTGGTCTCTATTCATCTTTGTAGAGGTATTCACGTTTTGAAGACTCCTAACTGCTACTGGGCATCTGTCAGGTTTTTAGACCAGAGTGATGCCAAACCTCTCAGAAACCATAGATTAACATTTCCTTGTGATGATTCTTACATATCCCCCAAAGAAGCTCCACAGGCTTTGGAAATTCTTGGTTAGCAGGCACTTTTAAGTGAATCCAGGGCTATGAAGCTGCTACAGAGGTGCTGGATTGCCCGTGCGGGACTCTGAGCCTGGATGGGTCTTTGACCCAGCTTGTGGTGCTGAAGCTCTGCGGTTTTGGGGACCAAGCAGGAGAGCAGAGCTCAGCCTGTGCTGCTGAGGCAGGAGAGGAGAGCAGCTCCCAGGGATGCACAGTGGGGTGAGGCTGGGCTGGACACGTCTGGTGTCCCGTCCCCAGTGGGAGAGCCTGGTGAAGAGGGGCTCTGTGGTGCTCATGTTGGGTTGGGAGCTGAGCCTGGAGGCTGTTCTCCCAGAAACATGAGCAGAACCTTGCCCCTCTGTGCTCTGAAGGAGACTGCATTTGAGATCTGCCCTTCCTCCAGGGTGAACTCCTGGCTCCCATAAAGCCAGTGTCAGAACTGGATTTGGCAGAGCTGGGATTTTTGTTCCTGGGGTTTACCAGCTCTCTGCACGGCAATAATCTTGCCAGGGGACAGTTTATCTCTAAAGGAAGGCTTTTATTCTTTCACATAATCTACAAAGACATCTGTAATTATTGCTGGTAACTAAGGCAACCCAACTTTACAGTTGGTACGTGCGGGCAGCAGAACGGTGGGGTATGGGCTTTAAAATACCTTCCTGTCAGCTCGGTGGTGGCCACGCTTGGGCTGGGAACCCTGGCAACCTGAGCCCAGCTCTGCTAGGGGGTCCTGGAGAGGAGGAACACGGTGTCAACAGGGTGGTGATTAGCTTCACTGCCTTAATTGGGCACTCTGAAATAGGGGTTCATTTGTTCTACTTGGGGACATCACTGAAAGGCCACGCAGGAGGGGGCAGTGGGGTTGGCACTGTCTGAAACTAAGAGCCTCTCTGCTCATTTTAGGAGCATCCTGCTGTGCCTGTAAAGAGGATGTTCATCTGGCCCAGGGAAATTAAATCATTTGTCCATTCACTGAGTGCACGGCCTTGGATAGCCCAGGAATAGAACAAATTGCTCCTGGCAGCTGCTCACGAGTCCTGCTGCTGTAGTAGGACATCAGCTTGGCAAACGTGGGGACAATGTCCCTGTGCTCATGGGGAGCAGGGGCTCTGGCATCTCCAGTTGGTCTTGGCTGGCATCTTTGATCAGAGGACCCTATTCCTCCTTTGCTTTAATCCATTAAAATAACAGCAGTGTAATAAGTGTAATAATTCTTAGCCTTGTGGGGGGACAAATCTCAGAAAAGGCTGTGGAATGTAATGGTTTGGTCTTCTCAGGAGCAGCTTTTGCTTTCTGTCAGGGTGCATTTGCTTGGAGCATTCAGGTTCTTGCATTTTTATGTTGGAAATGTGTCAGTGATCTCTGAGAGTATGTGCATGGAAGTGTAAAATATCTCTCCCAGATAAAATCATCCTCTCTCTGTTACTGGAACACAGTTCTACAGGAGCTGAATCAGTCTTAGAGATGAGTTAAAGGCTCTAAGCCATTAATTCTTCAAATTTGGTTTTTTGATATGAGTCACTTGGAAAAAACTTTAAATAGCATATCTTGATCTTTTTTGAAATAAGTTTTTAACCAGACAATCTGCAGTATTTTCTCTTTGGCAAATTCTGAAATCTACCCCTTTTAATTAAGCTGAGGGTGTCTCTTAGGATGATTTTGGAAAACTTATCTTTCCTGCTTTTTAGGAAGAGCTGATTGATCTTCTTCCAAAATCCTGAAACAAGTTTTTTTGCTTTTAAAATACACAGACAAATGTTGGTGCAGTTGAAGCTTTATGAAAGCTTGACATTTGACCTGACATTTACTTTGGTGTTCAATGAAACTTGCTGTGTTCCTTGAACTGTATCTTTTGCCAGCAGAAAGTTTGAACATCTTTGGTCCCTGGCACTGGAGAGCTAATAAACAAATCTCAGCAGTGTGCTTGTTCTTATTAAAGAGCCCCCATGGTTTCTGTGTGCATGGTTGGGTTTTGGGTCCCTGAGGTGTCTGTGAGGCTGCCCAGGGCAGTGTCCTGTGGTGATCCAGATGTCCTGCTCCAGAGCAATGGGAGTGGCTCTCCCTGATGCTCCTTTTGGTTTCACTTTCTTTTTAATTTTTTTTCTTTTTTGTTTACTCTGCTTACTTCCTGTACGTGTTCCAGCTTTGGAGCCTGAAAGCTCCATGAAGTCACTTGCACTTCCAGCACTTCCAGAGCCTTTTTTTCCCTTCCTGCCTCAGTGGTGCCACATGGGCAGGTTTAGCTGTTTAAAAATCAAGGTTTTATGCTGGGGTGTTGAAAGCTGTGGTCACCTGGCCTAAAGTCCCAATGAGGGTTTGTGACAGACCCTGCACTGAGGCTTATCTGGGTTTGGCTGTGTCCCTGCAGCAAGGAGGATTCCTCACTGGAGTGTGCAGAGCTGGGGAAGAGCCAAGTGCCAGCACAGCTCCATGGCCATGGACACCTCTGGCAGTTTGTGTGGCACAGAATGAGTTCAGTGTTCCTCAGGGACAGAAAAGCTGTTTGTGTTGTTGCCTGGTACCAGTCCCTTGAATGCTGAACATTTAACACGAGGAATTCTTTCTGATTTTTCCTCTTTTAACCCAGCCACACTAAGCTAATTGGATGATGAGTGTAATGGAGTTGGGAAGTTGTCTCCCTCCCTGGGACATGTGCTCAGTGATGTTCTGCTCAGCCTTGTGGCTTCACTTATGGCTGAGAATATTCCACTCGCTCAGCAAAGTGAAAGAATTGGCTGGTTCGTGGCATTAACCTTTGTCTCAGCACAAAGCTGAAGGCTGCTCAGTATGCAGGCTGGATCTGAGCTGTGTGCAGCTTGGCTGCTGCTCAGCCTCTGCAGGAAGGAGAGTGCAGCCCCCCAAAGGCTGCTGGGGGGGCAGAGAGCTTTGTGTGCTGTCAGGGGACACGGTGTGGTGACAGCCACTGGCCAGGAGCAGGCAGGGTGTAATGTTAGCCAGGGCTTCACACTGCAGGGGTTGTAAATAGTGAATGATGTGTTTTTCAAAGGGAAAGTCGGTGTGTGTAAGTGTGCTTGTGTATAGAGATATATGTGCATGCATGCACACCTTGACAGGAGCTGACAGGGTGTTGTGGGAAGGATCCTGCCACACTTCCCTGCTCTGTGCTCTCCTTCAGACATCACCCTCTGCTCACCAGAGAGCCAGCATGCTGGGCTCTCCAGACTGCTGGTTTAGCCCAATTCAGCCTTTTTTATCAAGCCAGCCCAACTAAGAAGGGTGATAGGGAGGAGGGGACAAAGGTGAAGGAGACTGTCCCTTGGAAGGAAAAGCTCTGAGAAGGTCTCCAGTCAGGCACATGGAGTTGTCTCCTGAGATCTACCATTGTCTTGGGGCTGGCTTTAGACAAGGACAGCCCTCCTTGGCTTGTCTTGTTTGCCTTTGCTGCCAGGGTTTGAGGGGCCAGCAGAACAGAGACCTGCCTCAAAGTGCTGCTCCCTTCTCAGGTGGGAGCCTTGAGCTCTGAGTGATTTCACAGGCTCTCAGACCAGGGAGGTGGAGATATTGACCTGCTGTCAGTTGTGTGTAAAGAGCCAATGCTTCCAACAAAGTAATGAGGCCACGTGTGTGCCTTAGGCACCTGTTGGCCTGGTTAAACACAGCACAGAGCTGAGTGCCTCTGGTTTGACATTACCTATGGAGCTGGTGCTTCTGCTAGGAAGGTTTAATAATTCATTCCATATGTTTCAGTGGCAATAAATAGACTATTTCTGAAATGGAAAGCAGCTTCAGTAAAGCTTTGAAAGCTGTGCAGGGAGATTTAATAGCCCTTTTCTATTTGCCTCTAAAGAAGATACAAGTCATGCATTGTGTGCTTGCCTTTTTCAGATGGGACATTGAAGGCTAAACTTCTTTTTCTCGGTATGAATGTTAAAAAAATCCATGGTACTCTTGTAGTTCCCAGTGTTGAAGTCCATTTCTATTCAGTGAGGCAATTATGTTCTGGCTTGAATTTCAACTTATACTGCTTTCCTGGCCTGAAGCCTGTAAGACTGGGCTTTGTCCTCAGGTGTTTGGCACTTCTTTCTTTTCTTCCCTGCTGGCTGAAATGTGGGCTGAGTTGGCTTTCAACATCCATGCAGAAGTAGCTGCATTTTTTGATGTGTTCATGTGGAGAACCTTAACTGACTGACTGACTTGTGAGTAGCTCCAATGCTTAATACCCTGTGCTGCAGTTTTAGGATGCCTGTTTTTTACAGTGCCATTGAATCAAACCTTCTGCTCCTTTTTTTTTTTTTTTGTCCCTGTTTTTAGCATTAAGCAGAGTTCCCGTTCCTCTGAGGCAGCTGAAGATGAAAAGGACCAGAGGACAGTGACAGTCAATCCCTCTCACATGAGAAAGGCTTTCAAGGTCATGAATGAATTACGGAGGTACACTTTTGACTTACTGGGCTCCCTCTCCGGTTTAGCAGAATTGTGCTGATTGAGGGATGTAGAAAATAGTCTGTGCCATTTTTATTACACCTAATGGTTGCATGTGGAGGATTAATCACAAATAATGATTAATCCTAAAAGTCCTTTTGTGGTGGGCTGCTCTCCCCAGTCTCAGACCTCTGTCTTCCCAAAAACGTTATCTGAGCCATGGTCTTCATTTATAGATGATAATTCATTTAGTTTTTCCATTACTTACAGCAAATTCAGCTGTAAACTCTGTCCTTAACTGAGATAAGGGTCTGAAACCCAATAATAGAACATTACAGACATAAAGACACCTACACATAATTACAGACCAAAGATTATTAATGTACTGTTCTTAGCCTCTTTAACTAGCAGCATCACTCACTCTGGTCTCAGCACTCCAAAGTAAGGGGTGAAACAAAGCAAGTACTCAGGAAGAATGTCAGCTCTCTTCTTGCAAATTGAAAAATCCCCATAATAGTTAAAAGAGAACACCTTGCTCTTTACACAGCTGTGTGGGTACAGGGAGAACAGAGGCTGAAAACTGTGAACACAGCCTTGAAAACTGCTGTCATCACATCAGCAAGGTGGTGGCAGTGGTTCAGCCTCAATTGTTTCTTGGTGGCTGTTATCCCACTAACCAGACAGAAGTTCAGTGAGCATTTCTCTGACTAATTCATTAGATTTTTCACCTTTCTAGTTTTAAAAAGAATTCTTATGTAAAGTGTTTGTGTCACACTCATGAATGTACGTGCTCCCTAACTGCTGAGGGGATGTGATGAAAGCAGGTAACAAACACCCTCTGCTCTTCTGCACACTCCAAGTAATCAAAAGATGCTCTAACAGCTAACTCTCCATGGATTAAGTAGTTTCCTAATACACACTTCTCTAGTGTGGAGAGGGATTGGAAATGTTTCCTTCCCCAGATATCTGACAGCAATTCTCCGTTGCATAGGAACAAAATGGAAATATTGTAACTATTACATGAAGCAGGGTATGTTGTAATTTTTTTTTTTAACTTTTAACTGGCATCCTTCTGGTCCTTTCTTTGTACTGAAAGCAAAGGATCTGAAGCTGAAGTTTTGTGCATCTATATTCAGAAATCTTTTGTGCTACTGTTATTCCTTTGTTAATTGAAGCAGAGTGGGAATAACTGGAGACCATGTTTCATAGTGCCTGTGGTTAGGTATCTTGTGCAATACTGAAAAGATAAAATATAGAAGAATGAAAGCTGCCATTAAGCACCTGTATGATGTTTTCATCTTCGGGGTACTGGGGGTTTTTTGTTTTTTTTTGTTGGCTCCTGTTGCTGTTGTGGAATATACAGTTTTCACATCTCTTGGATGTGCACTGAGCTTGGGATCTGTCATCTCTCAGCAATCAGTGTTAATAGATGCCTTGAATAATAGTTTCTCCCTTCACATGCATCCAGAAATCTTATGCAGAGGTCTAGAAAAATCATGCTAAACCTTTAACCTATATACTATATACAATCGTGGAATTGTTTAGGTTGGAAACACCTCTAAGATCATTGAGTCCAACCCTTAACCCAGCACTGCCAAGACCATCACTAAACCATGTCCCTTAGGCTTTTAGTTGGCAAATGTAGATGAAATTAATTTTATGAGTGGTACTTTAGATTACTATAGCCCAAAATGGAATTGAGCAGAGCACCTTTTACATAAGCTAAAAGAAATGAGGAAGCTTCCATTAAGAGGCTCTTAAAGAGGGCCCATCATTGCCCTTCCCCCTTCCAAACTGGAATGAATGTAGGGTACAAACTGCCAGTTCCTACTTTCTTCTGTATTCCAACTATAACCCTCCATTTCACAGCTGTTTTTTCACATATTTCAATATATGGAGAAGAAGAGATATAGCTGGTCCATTAGAAGCTCTGTGTATGTTTATTTGATAATGCAGTTTCCTAAAGACAAAGTTCAGTGTGGAGATAAGTATTTCCAAAGAGAAGGCAACATCTAGATTTACAGGACTGATCCTTTTTTTGGGCTTGACATTTGAAAAGAACACCCTTAGTTTGCATTTGTGTGCTTAAGCATCTCAAACCAACTTATTGGGAGGCTGAGCACTTCTTGCTGTCGGCATCTGCGGAGCTCTGTGCAAACATTAACTAATGAATCCTCAAAGGACAGACGTGGGGCAGGCAGAAAAGGTCACTCCTTAATGAAGTGACTTTTCCAAAGCTCTACAATGAGTCAGTGGGGGAGCTTACAAGGTATTTTTTTTTTTGTTTCTGTCTGGAACCCCGTTCTTTATCCCAGTGACTCTTAATCCCAGACTAATTCATGAGGTAAATGAAGTCCTCAGGCCCATGGATAAACTCCAGTGATTGATATCTCTGCTCTGGCAGATGACTGAGGCAGCCTCTGTACCTATCAGTGACATATTTTTCGCGGCTTTCCATCCATTTCCACTTTCCATTGTGGCAAGCATGGAAGGGAGTACAGAAATCACTTCACTTTCCACTCCACCTTTTCCCTGTGGAAAGACAGAAGTGATGCTGGTGTTCCCTTGCATGGATATTTCTTGTCTTACAGATCTACTAGAGCCTGGCCCCAGGTAGTGCCCAAATCTTTAAGCTCTTCTGTGCCTCCTCCAAGCCCTGCTTGTTTGAGAGGTGAAGGAGCTGCTTGTCCTTTGTTCTTTGAGCAGCATGCATGCATCATTTGGCTTCCAGGTTTTTTTCCCCTGAGGAAAGCAGAAGCACAGGCAGGGCTGCAGCCTCAGGAGGATTCAGGCTTTGCTGTGTAGGCAAACAGTGACAGGAGCTGGTACTGAAGCATTAGAGAACCTTCCCCTGGGCTTTGGCAGAAGCTCAGGTGCTGTGTCTGTAATGGTGGGTCTTCCATTCTTTTGGGGCTGTGGTGATGTAGACTTTAGCCTGACAGGGAGTTCTGAAATGATCTTTGTCCTCTCTGGTGTCTCCCCAGCAAGCGGCTCCTGTGCGATGTGGTGATTGTGGCCGAGACCGTGGAGATGGAAGCTCACCGGGTGGTGCTGGCAGCCTGCAGCCCCTATTTCTGTGCCATGTTTACAGGTACTGCTTGTGACACCAGACAGTGTGGGCTGAACAGGCCATTGGGCTGTGTGTCTGTCAGGAGCTGCAGCACAGGCTGCTGAGGTTTCCTTGAGAGAGAAGGGGGACAGATGAGTTTGCTGTACTTGATGGGTGATGCTGGCCACCCTTTACTAATTCCTGTGGGGTGAGTATATAGCACTGTGAGGTTCCTGTGGAGTTTGGCTCACTGCTTTGTGTGTTCATTTTTTTCCCCCTAACAAGACCTTGGATCATGAAAACATTACCACTGAGCACGTGTTCAGTGCCCTAAATGTTCATGGTGCACATCAAAGAAGTTGCTGGCACAGGAGTTGTAGTTTCAAGGCTCAGTCCTGCCGATACTGATTTGGCAGTCACAGATGTTTAATCTCCCATGGCACTTTTTTCTGCTGCCTGAAATAACACCGTTGTTCTCTTGATCCCAGTGTGTTTTAGCAGCCCAGCTTTTTAACAGGGTGAGTTGCTGCAGCCCAGTGTGTTTTGGTAATGGCAGAAAGGAAGAAAAGGACAAAATTCCTGCTCTGATCACCTGATCCTTGGAACAGGTGCCCTTCTGTGCCCAGATGGGTCAGCAAAAAAAACCCCTAGAAAGCTAGGTCAGTCCTGAAGAAGGGGAGTGAACAGCTTATTTAAGTCATTCTAGTAAAATTAGTGTGGTCAGAAACTCCTGAGCTTCATTCCCTTCTTTGCCCTCATTTTCAGGATAGGAACTGACAAATGCTAAGAAAATTATTGTACACCCCAGGGAATGGTTTTTACTGCCCCTGAGCTCCAACATAAATGAGGTTCAGGGGTTTTTTTCCTGTTTCATGTTCATTTGCTTGTGGTCTGGGCCTTGTTTTTTCCTTTTAAAAGCCTTGAGATTAGACCTAGTTTAATTCATTTTGCTGGAAGCAGAATGCAGCATTTCTCAGGAAAGAGCTTGTTGTTAGTGAAGCTTTTTTCCTTTCTGTGATGGAGGTGGGGAGAAAACCTCAGGTGTGAGATGTGACGCTGCCCATGGTGGCTTTATCAGTGTGGTGAGCTAAGGTGGGGAGCATTTGTGTTTTCTGGGGTGGCTGGTACTGACTGCGTGGTGAGGCAGAGGAACAAAGGCTGCTCAGAAACAGCTGTGTGTGTGGGCGACTTGTGGTGCTTGTTCCTGATGAAGAGTTTAATAAAGAAAAACCCTTGGAAAAACCCTCTGATCCTTAGAGGTCATCTGAGTGGGAAGGTGGTGGTGCAGGGCTGCTCATGTTTCCATGCAGGAATTCTCTGGGCCGTGTAATCCCTCACTCTGTGAGTTAAACAGTAATCAGCTCACCCATCATGTGGCTGCCCTGGGCTGGGTGACAGCCTGGCAGCCGCCTGTCCCCTCCCCCTGACGAGTCCCCGGGGCCAGAGGGTCAGGCAAAGAGCAGCTCTGCCTTTGCTTTCAGTCTGGCTAGCCCCAAATTCCCAAGGATGTCTCGTGTGATCACACAGAGTGTGTGATTTCCTTCCAGCTGCAAGGGGACAGTTTAAAATCACACCTTCAGCACCAGCTGGGCGGTGTAATTTGGTTTTTTGGCACTGCACAACAGTGATAGAGCCAAGAGCTCAGGTTCAGCTGCACTGTGGGGGTATTTGCAGGAGATGCTTGTGCACACTGAATTCCCTCTGGAGGGTCCCCCAGCAGTGAGCAGTGAGTGACCAGTGTGGAGCTGTGAGCACTGGGAACCACACTGGGACCCACAGCTCACCCACCTTCACCACTGCTTGCTCTGCAGGCTCGGTCACTGTCACCTGCCCTGACTTTGGGGCATGAATGACCTTGTGATCACCTTGGGGTCTTTCCTAAGCCATGAGTGTCCTCTGGTTAGCCATTCCTCTCTGAAGTATTCCTGGATAGTCTGAAATGGAGTGGGCACATTTTCCATTTGTATCTTCCACCGCTGAAGGAGAGATGGGACCAGCACTTCCTGAGTGTCCCTTTCCATGCTGGCTTTCCAGAGCATTGGGAGGTCCAATTCTAGAGCATTTGGATGCTGGTCCTTGTTGGCACTATGCTGTGGGGATGATTTGGGACAGTAATGTCTGTCCATTTAGAAGAAAACACAATCATTTCAGAAAGGGTGACAAATACTCCAGTGACACTGCTAGGACTGCTCCTGTCAGATACCTTAGGAATTTTGGAAGTGCTGAAGGAGGAAGCAGAAACCTCCCTTGCAGGTTTTACGTGCTGCTTCAAAGCACTCACCCCATGTGTGAGAGGCTGTGGTTTTGTTATCCAATGCACTCATGCACTCACATCTGTGACTTAGGAAACAGCCAAAGCTGTGGCTTTGCCCTGGGAAAGGCAATGTGTAGGAGCAGGGCAGGTTTCTGTGCTGGGTAAACACAGCACCGTGGGCTGCTGCAGTTTGGAGTGTGGTTCATCCTGTGATAAAACAGAGCTCTGCTCTCTTCTTGCCCTGATGAACAGGGGGGAGTGGAAAGGGCACTGCTGGGGTACAGGAAAGGAATGCCTCCAAGAGGGGCTGGTGTGTGCTAAGTCTGTCCCCTACAGAGGTCTGCTCAGAGCCACCCTGCCTGTTTTGCCTGCCTTTGCTCCCTCTCACCTCATCTCTGGTGTCTGCCTGGCTGCAGTGTGCAGGGATGGGGTCTGTGCAGTGCATCCTGTGAGGTAGCCCTTCCTCACGTGTGAGAGGTGCTAGTGATTGGAATTAGTCTGTAATTATGGTGTCAGCTAGGGCTGGAGTCTGACTTATGAAAGACACCCTAGGAGTTGTGTTTTGTGGGGTTTAAGGTGTAGGGTTTTTTTTTTCTGAAGAGATGTGAGATGAGATGCCCTCAATGATGCAGCACCCAGCTGCCCACAGGCTGCTCCCCAGGCTTGCCCTGGGTCTGTTGCCTGCTCCTGGTCTGCACCAACGCCTGCCTTGGTTCCCCTGTGGTGTCTCCAAGTTATTCCTCAGCCCTGGAGACTTGTCCCCCTGTGACAGTGGGAGTGGCTGGATGGCTGGGTTGGGTCCTGTCCAAAGGTGGGCACAGCACACGGGACCCTCCCGGGCTGGTCCTGCAGCAGAGCCAGAGGAGGCTGTTGGTATGCAGGGCTGGCAGCTTGCTGGTGGGTGGGGAAGCCCACACAGCTTTTATTTCTGTTGCTTGTGTCACATGGATGCCACCAGGAGAGATGATGTTATCAGATTGGTCCCTGCAACTATTTCTGCATTGATCTCTGGGTTTGTGTGGCTGAGCCCCTCCCCACACTGAGGGTCCTGCAGGGCTGGGGGTCTCACTCACCCTCCCCATGCAGGGGGGTCACTGGTTGCTCCTCACAGGCACCTCCAGCACCGCAGGGCTGATAGGGGCTGCTCTGTCCTCAGAAGCACCCTTTCATCTCTGGAGATGTTTGGGGATTTTTAGGGGGAGGAAGTGTGTGAAGATGACATTTTGTCAATTAAAAAGTCCTACCTGCTTTGAAGGCCTCCCAAATGTAGGCCATTTATCCCTTTGTACTGGTACATTGGTATTCATGAGCTTCTCTGAATAACATTTCATTATTCAATTTCAAAAACTGAATTTGGGGCAAATATTATTTCAGTTCTTGGGACGTTGTTGACTGTTCTAACACTCATGGTCCCATCCCACTCCTATTATTCACCTCCTTATTCACATAGGGAAAGTCAGCAAAGTTCAATTAGCAGGATCCAGGTTCTGCTCAAGCTTGGGCCCTCTTTAGCATCTGACTGTGCTGTGCACTTACTGTGCCTGGCCATGTCCTGTGGAATGCTGCACAGAGATGTAGGCTGTAATTACTTCTATAGGCTGCAGGAAATGTTTTTCCACTTAATCCCACAGCAGTACTGAGTCACCGGATTTCTGAGAGTAGTGATTATTCATGCCCAGGTTGAAGAATTGACATTTCTTCGTGCTCTCCTTTGTTTAGCTTTGTTTTTCTACCTATCATTTTCTTTCCGCTTGGGAGTTTGTTCTTACTTTTCTGTGGAGGTCCTGGTGATTAACTCCTGGGTGAGGTCAGCATGTGTGGGGATGCTGGGAGGGCCTTGGGGAGTCCTTTCTCCTCCCCACTGGATGTTTTTGTTCCTCTGATGTGCTCCTGTTGCACGGGGAGTGTGGAGGTGTGCATAAAGCTCTGGGTCATGAATAGGCTCTTACACAGCTATGGGGCTTTGCTTTGTGCATTCAGGGAGGAAATTATTGCTCTAGTTCCATGTGCTTCTGAGTTATGGGTTTGGGGAAGGGAAACAGTTTGCATCCAAAGGTGTGAGGTTGGGAAGGGGAGAGATGAGAACTGCATCTTTCAGTGTGGATGCTTTGCACAAGGTGTAAGTGATGGATAGCTTACAGCAGGGTAATTTAGGAGAGAAGCTTGCTGCATGCTGGGTGTAACTGCTGGTCTGTGTGCTTGTTTTCTGAGCAGGTTTCAGCTTCTTTCTAAAGAAAGAGAATAGCACTGCATTGCTTTTAATGTAGGGTATACAAAAAAAAAAGGTCTACTGTCACTGTTATAACATATTCATTCATATTAATTCATATTTATTTATTTTCACTCATATTCTTTTAGCTTCTTTCTAAAGAAAGAGAATAACACTGCTTTGCTTTTAATATAGGGTATACAAAAAAAATACCCTAATGTTGCTGTTGTAACATATCAATTCATATTCATTCATGTTCATTCATGTTCATTCATATTAATTCTCTCCATTTGTATATATATTAAAAAAGCATTAATAAATAGATATAAAACTGTATTTCTCAAAGGCCTTTGTAAGACACATGCACAGCCTCTTGGAGTCTGTCCCTGTTCATGATTGAGGGACATACTAGGGGTTTATTTTTAGCTCTTGTATTTGTTTGAACACAGGTAAACCATGGCAGGTTCTTTTCTGTCAAGAAACTGAGTTTTTTGCATTTATTGATTTATGTTTACACCAGTGTCCTTAATCTTGAGTTGTTTCTTAGGTGGCATTAGGAGGCTTCTGGGAATCTCACTGCTGGTTCTTCAATGGCGAGGGACAGTGCCAGTAATCAGACAGCAGGAGAATGTGCTGAATGTGTGGAGAGCAAGGTCCTGCAGAGCAAGCTGTAACTGTCCTTCTGAACTGAATTCCAGGAGACATGTCTGAAAGCAAGGCCAAGAAGATTGAGATCAAGGACGTGGACGGGCAGACCCTGAGGAAGCTGATTGATTACATCTACACGGCGGAGATCGAGGTCACCGAGGAGAACGTGCAGGTGGGTCTGCTCCAGCAGCTCCTCTGCAGAGCCCGGTGCAAAGCTTGGAACTCAGAGGCACAGGTTCTTCAGGGGTGAGGGGTCTCCTCAGGCTGTGGAAAGTAAAAGGTTGAGCTTGAAAAGAGCTGCTTCCAGCCTGTGTTTAGTCTTGAGGCACTTCAGTGCTTTCCCCACGCTTCAGTCATGTTGCATTTGGCTTTTGTGTGGAGCTGTTGTAACAAGAGCAGGCATCTGCCTTCCAAGAAGCTGTGCTGACTTGTGGGTCAGTCTGTCGAAGGTCAGAATAGACTCAGACAAGCAGTGAGTCAAATGTTTTAAGGCCATGGCACAGGAATGTGGCTGTTAGTTTTGAAATTCTTCTGGGTAGTTTGAGTTGTTTCACAGAGCTTTGAGTGGAATACATTGTTCAAATGAGGGCATTCTTCCTTTTTTTTTTGTGTGTGTGCTCTGTCTTGAATTTCTGAGAGGTAAATATTTGTTCACAAGTGGAAAGAGTAATTGAAAGGCAGCCTTCAAATAAAGCAGGGTGCTCAGGAAGAGTGTTTTGCAGTGTCACGTGGCTGTGGCTGCTGGTAGAGCTCTTTCTTTGACTCTGCTTGTATTTGTGGTAAGAAAAAGGCTTTGCACTTAGCCTCTGATGTCTGGGAGGGATGCTGAGAGCTTGTGTGTGGACATGCTTTTCAGCTGGTCTGGTTTTGTTTCCAAGTGGCAGTTTGAGCCTGTTGTCTTCCTCACTTTGCCTTGGACATTGCCAAGGGAGCAAGTCTGTGACAGTGATGCTGGGGAGAGTTTTGTTGACCTAATTAACATGGCAAAATTAGACTGGTTCTGCTTGAAACGAGGTTCTTGCTGTGAGCTCTTCTGCTCCAACCCCTCAGGCAGAGTGCAGTTCTTGCTGCCCTGTCCAGGAGCTTGGCCAAGCCCCTGAGCTGCTCCCACTTTGCAGTGCAGCCCTGCACCATCCTTCATGACCTAAACCTTGGGGGCCTTTTCTTGCCCCTTCTGCCCTCTGGCTTTACAGATGTGACTGTTTGGTGTGCTCTCAGCATGGCAGTGTCACCCTGGTTGGGGTGTGGAGCCTGGCTGCCCTGCAGTGAGAGCCCTCACTGAGACCTTCAAGGGGAATTATGGCAAAGGAGCTGAGACTCAAACCCAGCCCTGGGTGTCTTGGCCTGGCTGATGCTGTGTGACCTACATCAGGGTGATCAGGAGCTGGCACAGCATCACTCACTGGGGGACTGGGGTGGAGCTCCTTGCACCTCTGGGATCTCCCATTGCTGGGGGAGAAATGACAATTACACACCCTCAGGCTGTAAATTTCCCTGTTTCTGTGAGGAATATTGAGGCTGTATCCACGTGCTTTGTGAAAGGTTTGCTTTCCTCCCATGCTGCTGGGATTTGGGTTCTCCAGAAGCTCCTCTTGGCATTTGGGATGTGCAGAGCTTGGGATCCCATCTGCTGAGCCTGCCTTGGCTGGGGCTGGGGCAATAACCTCAGCTGCATTCCAGTTTTGGTGCTCCAGCTGCACTGGGGTGTGAGCAGTGCTGTGGGAGCAGCTCCATCCTTCCCAGAAGGTCTGTGAAAGTCCAGGTGTTGCTTTTCCTGAGCTACTAGACAACCATATTTTTTAGTAAAACATAACCAAAGCCTGCCTTCTGTGGCCCAGGGATTACAGGGAGTTAAGCAGATCCCTGGCTACATTTTGGCTTTCATCTCTCAGACAGTAAGTTAAAAAAATATAAGTTTTGAATACTAATTTTTTTTTCCCAATCTAGTAGAGCAGGTCCTTTTACTGCAGGATTTATTTCAGTGTCCACTCTGTATTAACTCTTCAGGCTAAAGGTAAATTAATTCATAGGAGCTAAGAAATGAAGCTGATCTACTGCAAGATTAACGGACTACTTTAAATTTTATTACATGTTTAAAGTGTTCATCCTGAAAATGTTTTATGGCATTTAATATAATTGTGTTATGAAACCAATAGAAAAAGAAATTTGTATCCTGTCCCTGGGTGTTTTACTCTGAACGAAGTGCCACAAACAGGTTAATATTCACCTTTGGCTACAAGAAGAAAAGGTGGCATAAGTGAATATTCTGTTATTTATTGGAAAGTTTCACATGAAGTGAAGGCTAAAAACCACAAAATTAAGCTTCTTGTAGTCTTTCATCTGAATTAGCAGTGTCAGTGTTAGAAAGAACTGAGTAGGTTAGTCCCTTGCATCACCACGTCCTCCTGCTGCACAGCTTTGGGTCATCCATCCCTCCATCCATCCATTCCTCCATCCATCCCTCCATCTGGAAGGACACTTCAGCAGTGTCTCTCTGTGCTGTTTCAGCAATGTTTCTTTGCAGCCCTGCTTGGACACAGTGAGAATTTCTCTTTTCCCAGCAGGTATCTCCTGAGCTCTCCTGTTTCCCTGTCACATGTTCTGAATCTGTAGCTGGGCAAGGATGCTTTTTTAAAGCAGTTCTTCAGACTTTCTCAGTAGCTGGAAGAAGCAATTTCTGGGTACAGGTGCCAGGTGATGTCATTATAGAAATTATGAAAAGACAAAAAATTTGCTCAATGGCATTGACTGAGCAGATGCAGCCAAGGTATCAAAACTTGTGAACAAATGAAAAGACACTGCCTTTGCAGTGAGAAAATAAGATGAGAGCAGGATAGAAATGAGAAAATGATGAACAGCAAAGGTAGCATGGAGTGCAGAATGAATGTTCCTAGGCTTGTTTGAATGCTGAGCAGTGCCCAGCCCTTCACAACAAGAAGCCTTTTAACAACCTCTTTTGTTGTTTCTTTCCTAATGGAAACCTGTTATTTTGGGTTTTTTTTTTTTTTTTTTGCTTTTATAGGCATGGTATGGGCTCAGGAAGTGAGACAGTTTTTCTAAGCACGTATTTCTGTAGCTATTGTGCAATGGAACGACACAGTGTCTTTTGTTTTGTTTTTTATGGAAGGATGGATATGTGTACCAGGGGCCAAGCCTGTGTGGCCAGTTCCAGTCATCATCTATGTAGTGAGTTCCTGGGGGTGGCCATCTAATTCCTTCTCAGATTATGTCCCAAATGTGCAGGCAAAGGGGATTTTTAGCTCATCCTGAGCCCATGTGGAGGGAATACTCTCTACATGGGTGAGAATTACCCTAGCAAATGCAATGTGCTTTATCTATTGGAGCTTCATTCTTGCAGTGGGATTTCAGGGCAGTAAAGGTGCAGCAGTAGGAGGGCTCAGGGCTGATGGATGATAGAGAAGTTTTACCTGTGAACATGTATTTGGGATTAAGCCTCCCACTTGTTTGGAAGGCATGGAGCAGAGAGAGAATTTCTGTCTTCATTGCAGTCGTGTTGTAGTTTCAGGAAAATCCATCCTGGGATTTCTACACCTGCTGCCTTCTGTTGTTCCTCCTCTGTTGCATCCCACATCAAGGTTGGTTGTAAATTTTGATATGAATGATATAAAGACCTCATTCATTTCAAGATGGAGTGTGATACATTTATTTAGAAGGAAGTTGTGTCATGCAGTTTCTGTGAAGAAAAAAGGAAAACTAAAGTGAGAGTCTCAGGGAAATTCAAAGATGCTCAGGTTCCTGGGCTGATCTCAGTGGAAATCATAAACACACATCAGAGCACAGGGTCGGCTGCTCCCTACATGTGTGGGGTAGCTGGTGATTTTAACAAATTGATTACCTGAATTTTTCAACTAGATCTTGATTTTGCAGTGGAAGTGGTTACATTGCTGCCTGCTTTCCAACGCTCATATCAAACCTGCCAGCTCAGTGATGGAGAAGCTCTGCATGGTGTGCTTGAGCAGAGCTGAATGAAGAGATTTGGGAGCAGGCTCCTCCCTGTCCTAGGCAGTCCTGGGAATACATTTGCACCTCTGGCTCTGGACAGTGAATATCTTAGTGTGTTCACTCCTCAGTGTGCCCCAACCAGCCTTACCTATGACACCTCATTACTGGCAGGCAGCCTGAGAATTACCCTCCTGATTAAGAAAGTCATTATCATTGAGGTTGTAATGATTCCCTGGAAAAAGTCCTGATTAACCTGGTTTCACAATTAAGTTGTTAGGAATGATGTGGTGTGGACCACATGTGAGGTGTCCTTGTGCACTGCCACAGTTTGAGGTATGGCTCACACAGAGAGCAAATCTGAAATCAGCTGTCTGGAGGAAGTAGATATTGAACCTGTCAGCTTTGCAGGCATAGTAATTGTCATAAAAAATGTCTCAAGAAAAGAGGAAAAAAGATTTGCTAGGAGCTGCAATATTTCTGTTTCAGAAGTGCTTCTGCACCTCTGCTTTCCCTTATGAGTTCACAGCAAGGAAAGAGAGTTCTCTGGCAAGGGCAGTTTTGATGATAAAGGGTTTATAATGGGTCAGTCCATCTCTCTTCCCCCTATTCAGTCCCAAAGCTGCAGCTGTAGTAGGTGCAAGCCCAGGGTGGGGCAGAGCACCTTTCGGCAATAAATCAGGGCTGTTCCTCCCTGGAGCCAAAGCTCCTTGCTGTGTGTGCATCTCCCTGGGGTGCAGGGTCCCTGGGCCATAGCAGGGCTGACTCCTCTGGGCTGGGAGCCCTTCCTTAAACCCATAGGAAGACTTTAAATTGGCTCAGCCTTATAGAAAGCTGAGGAGAAACTTGTGGATGTGGCACCAGAGCACTGTGTTGTGCCTGATGCATGTCTTCACTTTTTTATTTCACTGTTTAACCAAGGCATGGTGTGTCTGAAGTTGGAGAAGGCACCTCAGGAGGGAGGTTGCCTGTTGTTCCCCTGTTTTCTCTCTCATCTCTACATCCTTTGTCCATCTCCTGCTCCTGACAAGGTTTCTTGGCTCTCTGATGCTGTCACACCTTCCTCTGTCTGGGTTATTTCACCTCAGGTGGAGCATTTAAGTGGAAGCACAGTGATCAGCCCTGATGTGCTGCCTGGGAGCAGCTGGGCTGTAATAAAGCCTGATTGCCACCCTTGCACTCAGAAGCCACATTAAGCTAATGCCATTTTATCTCCACTATTTGTGCTGTTCAGAGCAGCTTGTTTAAAACTGAGCATTTTACCTGCCTTGCAAGCACAAAGTCCATTTGTCTCTCTGGGCAGGTGCCTGGGAGCTGTCTCCCTGTTTGGGCAGATGTGCAGTCCCAGCTGTGGCCCTGGATGTGCAGCTGAGGCATACAGCCAGCACTTTTATTTGGCTTCCAATTTGATCAAATTGTCAAAGCTGCTTATGAGCTTTAATACATCCCCTGCCTGGGGGAAATGCTCCTTTCCCAGTTTGGCAGAGCAGGAATGATGTAAGTTAAGTTAACTTTTGGCCAAGGCTACCTGTAGGGCTCTGTCACAGTAGGGAATTAACCTCAGCCTCTGCAGTCCAGCATTAATGAATGAACCTTATATATACAGAGCACTTTTGACTGAAAGATGTTTCTAGTTTAGAGACATCAAAGGTCTCTGGAAGTAATTGCCCAGGCAATGTTGTGTGAAACTTGAAATTTGTGTGTATTCTGCAGAGCACAGCTGGTGAACTAGATGTTATATGTATATATAAATATATAAAAATATCTCTAGACACACACCCATAGATGAAGCTCTGGACATAAATTAGGCAAAGCAGTCAGTCTTAGTAGTGATAGCTGATAATTTTGGCATAGTTTCAAAAAATGAGTGGGTTTTGATTTGGAGGCAGATCTGGTAGAGAAGCCAGCTCTCACAAAATTGTTCATGGCTGTTGAATGCAAATATTAAGAGCCAGATCCAGACCCATGTGAGTGACTTGCCTGAATATTAATGGGGTTGCAGTTTGGTCCTGCTGCATGTTTAGGCAGGGCATTTCCTCTTGTTATTTCTAAAGGAAACAGACTTTGTTCTCACGGAAATCCTTTGCTTGCTTTTTGCCTTCCCTGGTAAAAACAAGATGAGTGTTGAGATGTTCAGCTGGGAAGTAAGAAAGAGAAAAATCCCCTCATTTCTTGATAGGCTTTTTATATCCTAATTCTGAGAAGTGCTGTATGACAGTGCCCCTTTCCCGAAGGCTCCTTCTGCACTGCTTCTCGAGCCAGCACAGGCCATGGCAGCAGCACTGGCTTGTCCAGGGGCTGGTGTGTGTGGGGATGGTGGTGAGCCCACCTGGACTGGCAGGGATGCAGCCTGGATGGATGGGGGTGCACAGAGGAGGCTCTGGCTGGTCTGTACCCAGAGATGGCTTGCATGGAGGCTGACTGGGCTACCCAAAGCCTTTATGTAGCTCAGGTGCTCAGAAATGGTTCAGCTAGAAAGAAAGTGCTTCACAGCCAGGTTTCAAAATCCTAGAGCATTGCTATCTTGACTTAATCAAAGCCACAAACTAATCTGCTCTTGGCATCAAGAGGCTTGGGCCAAAACAAGCTCCTGGGTTAATTGACTTTTCTCTTTATTGTTGCCTGCTGGGGTGGCTGCTTGGCAGCAGTCAGCCTGTACAGCTGGGCTGGAGTGGAACACAGCAGTTGCTTAGAAAGACCTGGAGCAGGCTGTGAGTGTCCTGCCCTGGTGTGAAATGGGGCTGTGGTGGCAGGGACAGGGAAGGAACATCTTTATCCCTTTGCTGCCATCAGGATCCAGGGAGGTGAATGCTGTTAACCTATTTGCTTTGTTCAACAGCTGCTTTATTTTTTGTGAGTTGGTAATAACTGTCCGGAAATGTGTGCTCAGATGGTGAGCACAGATGCCCAGTTGGAAAGACATGTGTGAGGCAGCCAGAGCTATGGAAGGGCTGGAGTAAGACACGTCTGCAGTTGCTGTTGGACATAAGAAAGGAAGTAGCTGATGTCACGGGCTGTAATGTCCTGATGGATTTTGTTTTCTACTTCCTGTCCTTCTCACTGGCCTCAAAACTGGTTTTTTTTCCCAGTAGATGTCACATTCATCATCCATTTCTGTCTCCTTTTTCTGTGCTTAGTTTTGGAGGTACAAAGCAGTGCCTCATTTTCAGATGCAGCCATGATCCACAAGTGTCCCCAGCATTTTGTGCAAGTGCAAATGAGAGCTGCTGATTTGAACAGTTGGATCTGTCTTTTCCAAGAGCCTTGCTGTCACCAAAACCTGCTTGAGCTTCTGGGAACCCCTCTCTTACATGACTGCTTGGGCACCCTCCTCACAAGCCAATAAGCTTTTATTGGAAGTAACAAAGTCCAGGAGTTTGAGGACTGCTTGGCTGCTATGGGCTTTGAATCTGGTGGCAATAAATAATAAAAATCTGGCTTATAAATAATATAAAGCCCTTTGAGTGAAAAAAAAAATAAATCTTTGTGCAGGCCCTACCTGCAGCAAAGCCAGACATTCAGGAGCATCTGCGGTTGCTTCTACCTTGTCCTCACTTTGCCTTGAGGTCTTGTGGGGAGAAGCTGAGAGAAGTTGTGAGACGAGTTCCACTTATAGCCCAGTGTAAGATAGCTGTTTTCATGTCTCAGAGCATGAACAGGGATCTTCTGCGTATGGGTAGAGCCAAGACTTGAACCTTCCCTCTGATTACCCCACAGGGACGTGTCCCTGTCTGGAAGGGAATTGCCTCTGATCTGTGCAAGCTGTGAACCACTCCTCACTACTCACTTTCGTTCCCCTCTCGTGCCTTCGCAGGTTTTGCTGCCAGCTGCCAGTTTACTGCAACTGATGGACGTCAGAAAGAACTGCTGTGACTTCCTGCAGTCCCAGCTGCACCCCACCAACTGCCTTGGCATCCGCGCCTTTGCCGACGTGCACGCCTGCAGCGAGCTGCTGCAGCAGGCCAACGCCTATGCAGGTCAGGGCACACGGGAGAGAGAGAGGGGGTCTGTGCAGCTCAGCCTGCCCCAGGCACTGCAGCTTGGGGTTCAGCATGTCCTGCTTGGGCCCTTCACATTTCTGGTGTTGGAACAGGAAGGGAATGATTTGTTTAGTTCAGTGGTGCTGCGAGTTGTGAAATGCGGTTTGGTAGCAGGGGAGGTAAAAAAGGAGGAGTTGAGGAGGTAAAAAGGTTGATCCTCTGGATCTCAGCTCTCAAAACAGTTCCTGAGTGTGGTGCTAGCAAGCCCTTGGTGTGCCTGTTGGACAGCTCAGTGTTGGTGCTGGTTCCCTGCCCTGAGAGAGCAGCAGGCACTGCTGGGTGTTTCCATTGTGGGAATAAACAGCACTGGGCAAAGCTGAATCCTGGGGTGAGCGCTGGAGCACTCAGCTGAAATTGCCGTGCAGCCTGAGGCTCTGATCTGTGCAGCAATGGCCCCTTACCCCAAGGGAGCACAGATAGGCTCATGTTTCTCTGGGAGTGGATGTGTTTGGTTGCAATAAGCAGGTGCAGGCAATGGCTTTCAGCATTTCTCCTCTACATCATAAATGTAAAGCTTTTTTCAGCCAGCCCCAAGCTCTGATTTGTCCAGCACTTTCCAGTCTCCTCCAGCAGAGTTGCCCTTGACCTCTGCTTGGGAGAAGCTGATAGTTTTCTCCCAGTTTGTTTTTCTGTTTTCTGATAATTTGCATAGGGACACATACACCTGCTCTTTCCCAGAGCACCTGCTCTGTCCTGCAGCGTTTTCCTTTTTAACAGTTTTGCCCTTAATTGGACCCTAAGTAGGCTCAGTCGAATAAAAATGTATCCACTGAGTCCTCCCCTATTCTCCTGCAAATAAAACTAAAACCTTTTCAGCTGCTCTGGCTGTATTATCCCCTGGAGAAAAAGGTACCCTGGAAGGAATGGTTAATTGTATAAAAGCTTGCTTGTAATATCTCATTATCCTTGTTTCCAGGCCCTGTTTAATCTTTAACCCAACAAGCAGTGCATTCACTGTATATTTATTTGGTTGTTTGGCAATTAGAAGGTCTGCTTTGTTGTTTTATTGGCCTTCATAGGTCCCAGTTAGTACAGCAGCCCATGTAATGGTAATGGAACTCCATTAATAAAAATGCCATTAAAATTCTTTTCACTATGTTGTTTATGTAACAGCCTTAAACCAAGACAGAAGTCCCCAAGCTCAAGAGTCCATGCATTCATGAGCTCAGTTACTTGAGAAATGCTCAGTTCTGGCCAATGGATAACTTTACTAGGTGAAGGAGCCTTCTTGATGCAGGCACCAGTTCCTTTATTAAAATCAGGAAATATTCTTCCTTGCTTCCAACTAATAATGAGAGATCAAATACCTTTCTGCTGCCAGGTGCAAGTCCAGAATGAATGAATATCAGATTTAGCCCAGAAGTCAGAGTGCATCCAGCTTATTGTGTGAGGAGTGTTTCCTGCCTGTTAAATATTTAGGGTCTAAAGAGTTCATTAGATCATATGTATATTTCCAGTATTAAATTTTACCCACATGCTGCTATTTTTAATCAGAGCCTTTGCCTTAGCTGTGGGGTTTTGTTTCTCAGTAGAGCAAGGAGGGTCTGTGACTGGGGAGTCCAAGCCCAGAGTCCAACTCTGCAGCAGCTGCTTTGGTGAGGGGGGCTCAAAAAAACTCCTCTCTGCAAGTTATGCCAGCTCATGTCCCTGTGGTGCTGCTTTTTGTCAGGCAAAGCACTTTGCAGATGTGAGAACTCGAGGCAGATCTTGCTGCAGAGAGAGCTTTTTGGATACAGGAGTCTGAGCTTCTCAAAGCTACAGAATTAGAACTTGAAAGAAGCTGCTTCAGATAAAGTGTCTGAGATTCATGTTTCTGTAATTCAACCAAAGATAAATGGGGCTTAGCAAGTGACAGGTGAGATTAAATTGGCAGTATATGTAAGAAATTCTTGCAAAACTAAAATTGCTGCAGCTGGCTAATGACATATTTGACCTAGAAATTATTTTTTAGGAAGTGATTATTTTGTGTGCCTTTTGGCTAGATATCAAAACTTGACAGATTTGATGATGCTCAGTCATAATTCTTCCAGTTTTGGGTTATATTCATGCTTTTTGTTTTCAAGTGGCTCCCAGAGTTACAGTATGGAGGGATCTGGAGGTAAAAAAGGGAGAAATAGAAATTTGTACAATTAAGTGGAAAGGGGAAAACTACTGGGAAGGAGGATGCTGTGGTGCCCAGTTTATTCACTGCTTTGGACATTGGCCCTAGTCTCAATTGCCACTTCTAACTGTATCTGCCCCTGGAATATTCTCAGTGGCTTTTCAGAAAGTTTAGCAGCATTTATGAAAGTATTTCATGGGGCTGGTGCTGCTTGGAATTACATCAGGTTTCTCTATGCTGCTCTGGGGCTGGTTTGTGTCTGGGCTGCACTCCCAGCTGCTGTGGGTCTGAATGCTCCTGCCACTGACTGAAAACTTGGATTTCATTATAATTTTGTGTTCCCCCTTTTCGTTTGTTGAACAGAGCAGCACTTCCCTGAGGTGATGCTAGGAGAAGAATTTCTTAGCCTTAGTCTGGACCAGGTTTGCAGTTTAATATCAAGTGACAAGCTCACAGTCTCCTCTGAAGAAAAGGTACAGTAAATTGTATAGCAAGAGTGAATGTAAGAATGCTGGAATGTTTCTAGATCTTACACCAGGAACTGTTATCGTGATATGCTCCTTTGGGGTCATTCTCCAAAAGAGATCATGTGGAAAGGAAAATGAAAATAATGTGAATCCTAAAAGCACATAAAAATGACCTTCACTTGGTTGTTCTTGCAGGAAGTTATGACTCTCAGATCCATATCAGGCTAAAAGCCCTGAGGCTCAGAACCAACTACTTTCCTTCTCTGGAAAACTAGGAAACTCCCATATGCTGTTGTGTAAATCATTTAATACCTGCTGTAAAACCTCAAAAAAAAAAGTGAATTTCATTAGGCGGGGGAGGAATATTGGCTTCTGTTACATGTTGGCTAGAAAAACAAAAGGAAGCCCAGAACCAAAAGGAAGGAAGGAAATATTTTTCTAGTATCTTCAGTGTTTTTATTAAGAAAGGGGAGAAAGGCAGTGGTTGATACTGTTTTTGTGGTTGAAACGTTCAGCACATCTTGTGTAGTCTGGGCTCCTGGGGAGGAGGGTGAGCAGTGCTTGTGGTGCTTGGTGAGCTCAGCCCCATTCTCTGGTCTGAGTTTCTTGTGTGGCCTGCTGCAGGTTCTGGGGACAGGCACGTGCCTCCAGTCCTTCAGCTCATCTCCAAATTGTCACTGTGGGGAGATTGTAAAGTCACAGAATCAGTAAGGTTGGAAAAGACATTTGAGATCATTGAGTCCAACCACTAACGCAGCACTGCCAGGTCCACCACTAAACCATGTTCCTAAATGTAAATGGTCACTCGTGAGAGGCTACAGAAGAGCTTGAGGGTTGTGTGGTTTGTAATTTGAGGGCTCTAATGGATGCCTGCATTTGTGTGAGCTGATGCTGGAGCTGGGTGTGGTGATGCTGCACATCCTCATGTGTGCTCTTCTCCTGCTCAGCCCCTCTGGGCTGCAGACACACAAGTGCTTGGGCCCAGAGGGGCTGTAAAACTCTCCAGAAATCCTGCTCCATGTGAGCTGTGGCCTCAGGGGTGCTCCCTGCTGATCCTGAGCCAGCAAACCCAGAGGCTCCAGAGGCGTGGGCTGCCAGGTGCCCCTGGGGCAGGGCCAGCAAGGGAAACAGCAAATGGCACAAACTCACAGCCCAATCCCTCTGCCTGAGCCAAGCAGCCTGCAAAGGGAAGTGCAAGTTTAGTAACCAATTTTTTCCAGTCCTGTGCAGCATTGTTCAAAAGCTTTTATTGGCCTTGAGCCCAGGGGAATCAAAATGCTCCTTCCCTCATCTGAGCTTTACACAATCAAACCCAGTATTTCTTTAGCTGACTGTAAAAGAACTTGTAAAAGAAAAGATTGTTGAGAATGCAAGGCAGTGGAAGGAAATGTAAGCATAAGCTGCACGTTCAAAACAACAGACCTGAAAAACAGGAGAGAGGCAGAAAATGAGAATGGAACATAAACATGAAATGTGCTGGAGTTCAAAGAAGTGCTCGAAATTGAGGACAGACTTGGAGGCTGCTGTTTCATGTTAACTTCATGACAGACAAGCCATTTTCCTCACTTTTATTCTTCCTATCTGCTAATGTTTCAGTTATATATTATAAAAAAAGTCTGTATGTGCGGATACCAGTCTATGCATACAAATATGTATGCATGTGCAAAATATTTCAGAAATCTGGCAGCTTAATTGTCACAGCCAGATTTCACAAGGAGTTTTCTCATTTCTCTCCTTGCTGTGTCTCATACCAGAGCATTGCCATCCCTGGATCACTGGGAAGTGTTGGATCCAAGTCCTGCCAGGATCAGGGAGGGAGAATTGCCCTTGGAATGCCTCAGGAATTTGTGTGTTCTCCCCTTCCTCTACCACCCCACAACTAATACCAATTGGCTTAATAAAATATATCCTTATCTTCACCAATTTTGGTTCATTTATACCCCTAGGCCATCAGACGGACAAAAATTCTCTGCTAGCACAGAAATCTATTTTAATTGTCAAGTGGTGACAGCATTTTCTCATCACTCATCTCCTTTCTCTTCTTGTTGTACCAACCTCTGGAGTTACACAAGCCTTTTAAGAAAAGGGCAGAGACTTGCTGTCCCTGCTTGCTCTTTTTGCTGTAGCCAGTTCAGTGCCTGGAAGACAGTTTTATTAATGTTTTCTGTACCTGACCTAATTGGCTCATTTTACTGTTTGCAAGCTAAAAACCATGTAAAAATAATAATTACTTGTTATTTACTAAAGATGTAGGGGAGAGACTTGAGAATGGTCTACTGCCAACTCAGAACAGTGGCTAAAGAAATTTTTTAGAGGGTTGGGATTTTTTGGATTGTGGGATTCTACGCTGAGTCTGGTAATTGATTCATTGCCTCATGCTGCTGACATGCAGCAGAAGCTGATGCAAGGTTTGGCCCTCACTCTTGGAAGTCTCTAACAAATGGATTTTTGGCTGAAGAGACTGGGAAAACATCTGGGTTTGCTCTTTCCTTAGGCAGCATGCAGAGAGGGGATATTCCAGGCTTTTACCCTTCTCCTCCACAGAGTGGGAAATTTACTTCTCCCTAGCTTGGGACTGCTCCTGCAGCCAGGCAGGTGCCAGCTGCCACTTCAGCCCGTGCCTGAGCTCTAAATCAAGCTGTGTGGGCAGCTGCTGTGCCCATCCCAGCCTGGCAGCAGGTCCTGCATGGCTGCAGGGTCCCGGGGGAGCGGCAGCAGCTGCTCGGGGTCTGCAGCGGGCACGGCAGGACTGCAAACAGATGTGGCCTTTAAATAGAGATATTGCTGTCTTGGATTAAAGCCTTTTCCCCTTCTCTGAAATTAGGAATCAGAGCCAACAGAAGGTGCCAGAATCTGATTTTTTTTTTTTTTTTAATAGTTATTTTTAGAGTAGGCACAGCAGGGAAGCATCAGTGCTTGCCTGACTCAGGAGTGGACGCCAGCACCGAGGAAGCAGCTTATTCCTGGTGCACATTCCCGGTGCACATTCCTAGTGCACATTTGCCTCACCTTCCTTTACACTTGCTCACTGTCCTCCTGACCTGTAGCTGGGTATGCCTCAGCCTTGTAGCCCATTCTGCAGCTCAGAACTTTCTGCACAATCTCTTTGTGCAGAAGAGGTTAATGAAAAGCCTGTTTGTCGGCTAAACATTTGCTTTATCCTCCTTCCACCTTCATTTGCAATTTAAAAAAATCTCACAACAACCCAGTTACTACTTTAAAGGCCTCATAGCCAAAGTTGAAATGTTTGTTTGCTTATTTATTTTAATTTTAAAATACTTAAAGTCTCTGCAGTATTTATTCTCCTCAGCATTTGCTGTGGTTTGATTACACCACTCCCTGTTGGGTTGCTTAAATCCTCATTGCAGTGTCCTGAATTCCAAGCAGTTCAGCAGGAACTTTGTTGGCACAGGAAATGAGACTGGTGCTTTACTGCATTTTAAAAGTATATAGTTTAGCCTAAGAGGAAGAAACCCCTTTCTGCTCTGCATCTCCTTCATGGCAGGATGTGTCTGCCAAGGCCCCCTGCAAGTACATTTACCAGCAACAATTGGGGACTGAAAGATGGTGCCCTCATTTTTGGTTGATTTTGTCAAATTAGTGACCTTGGACCAAACAAAATGGTCTCTTGGGGAGTGATGGGTGGGATGGAAAGAAAGAAATAATTATCTGTGCAAATTGGCCTGACCATTTGGTGACCCTGGAAGGAAGCTGAAACCAAGGGTGCTTGCCTGGCACGCTGGAGGAAGGGCCAGGGATGCCTTTGGGGGAAGCATGGACAGATGGGATCTCTGCTCAGCCCCCGAGTGACTGGGCAGTGGGAGTGGCTTATGTGTCAGAATTTAATTCTATCTCTGTGGGGAAGCTCCACTGCAGTGATCCAGATCCTGCTGTGCAGCATCCGAGACTGCATCAGCCCCTCTTCCTGCCTTGCTGGCTGTTTCAGGAAGCCTTTCCCACTGCTGGTGACATTTTTAGGCCTTTCTTTTGTGAGAGAGGCTCCCAGTTACATAAGCACATGCATATTCATCCAGGAGCCCACAGAGGAGGCTTCTTCTGGGCCAGGGCTCTGCCCATGGGGCTGTTTGTGAGCACTTTGTCACGGGCTCCAGCTCTGGATGCTTATCTCAACCAGCTGGATCTGGAAGTAAAACTAGATTTTGGTTGAGACCAGAAGCCCAGTGTGCCCTTGTTCCCCAGCTGGAATATCTGAGTATTTTTAGCAGTGAAATGCAGGCAGTGCAGAGGCCCCATGGCTGCAGGCAGGGCTTGCCCTGTGTGTGTGTGGGGAACTTGTCCTCAAGACTTTTTGCTTTCTGGGGGCTGGTGGAACTGCTGCAGTGATTAAATATGAGTGTAGTGACTTTACTGTGTGGCCAGGCTCCTGGAGGAGGGAGATCTCTGTTATCAGGAGTAATTGTTGTGGCTGATTTCATGAATAATGTCCAGTGCAAATGTCAGCAGGCTCATTAAGTTTCCTGGCTGCCTTCCAGTGCTCATGTCCAAGAGGTATATGATTGTTCTGGACATGCACTTAGCTCTGGGAGTGATACAGCACATCTAGATGTGAGGCTGCTTGTTAACATGCATGGTCAGCTCAGCTCTTTGCTGCAGTGCTGCTTGTGCTCTGTGCAGCCACAGCTTTTTCATCTGTTTGATAGAGATCTTTTCCCCCCCTTCCTCTGATGCTCTAAAATCACTATGCTGCTGATTATGGGTGGGTGACTCTGCAAGGAATTTGTCTCTTCCCCATTTAATTGTATTTATCTGTGTAGGTGTTTGAAGCAGTTATCTCTTGGATCAATTATGAGAAGGAATCTCGCTTGGAGCACATGGCTAAGCTGATGGAGCACGTTCGCCTGCCCCTTTTGCCCAGGGATTACCTGGTACAGGTCAGTCTGCAAAGAAGGCATCAATGCTTGCACTTAAGCTGCTGACAGTCCTTAGTCAGTGGCTGGGCTGTTTGTGTCTGAGATGGATAATTTGGTCTGTTGCTGAGTCTGTAAACAGAAGAATAAAAGCTAACACCTGAGTGGACTCTGAAATCAATGTGTGCTTCAGAAACCTTCTTGAAAATGGGGCCCGTGCTCTGCCAATGCTGAGAGCAGAGCTGCTGTCCCTCTAGGGGAAACATTGATAAGTGAATATCTTGTGATTTTTCACCCTGAAAATACTGAAGTGGTGGTGTTACAAGCTCGTGCAGCTTTTTTCTGTCATGCACAGGCAAAACATCATAATGGAAACACATAATGTGTGATAATTTTGGTTTGAGACGTGTGCTGTGCATGCATATGGGTCTGTGTGGCTGGCAGGGGAGGCACTCTCTGACTCAGTCTGACTTGGAGATTGTTCTTTATAAATGAATTCCTGGCATCTGGGCCTACATAATGAGCTGAGAATTCCCAAAGAAGGGGTTGGCATTTGGGCTCTTTGACTACGATGCTTTTATCATACATCTGAAAAAAATCAATACAATTGGTATAAAATCGGTATTCACAAGATGAACCCATCATGGTTTTGCTTTTCTTTCATCTGTATCTTCTAATGGAATAAAAGATACTGCTTCTCCTTAAAAATTCTGACTCAGATAAAAGAAATCACTTTGTATCCAGACTCCTGGTGAGTCAAGTGCATCAAGTGTTTGGCAGAGGGTGATAAAATACTCACTTCTTGTGAGTGATCTTGGGAAAAGGTGAGAAATTTGGATGTTACTGCATGTGCTTCTTTGGCAGGAGCTGGAAATCTGTATTTGTCTCCTGATTTTTTTTTAATGTTGGTGCATTTGAAGGGAAATTCCAGGTTACATGAGCTTTCCATGAAGCTCCCTGTGACCTGTGCCAGTGTAAATGATCTTTGTTGTGTGTGCATGTTCTCAGACAGTCGAAGAAGAAGCTTTAATCAAGAATAACAACACCTGTAAAGACTTCCTTATTGAAGCCATGAAATATCATTTGCTTCCTCTGGATCAAAGGCAACTAATAAAGAATCCCAGGACAAAGCCAAGGACCCCCGTTAGCTTGCCAAAGGTAAGCTGAGCTTGTCACTTGGTGTCACCTCACCCCTGTGCCTGGTGGTATTTTCAGTCCTTTGACAGGAGATCCACAACTTGCTGTGTTACTCTTTACTGACTCAATGGTTGTGCTTGGAAGTGTTTTACTCCCTCTTCTGGCAGTGCCTGTGCCCAGCAAGGACACATAATTAAGTTGAGTAAGCTTAGATAAGCCCTTAGGGGAAGGAGAGTCTCTGCTCTTGAAGGGTTTTGTCAGCCACAAGTGGCTGCTGGAGTGCTGGGAGGGCTGCCTGAGGTGCTGCTGAGGAGGTCACAGTGGGTGTCTCTTCCTTTCCTGTATCCATAATCAGAAGCCAGGAAAGCAGGAAACAGCACCCAGCCCCGTGGGCAGGAAGTCTGAAGTGAATTTCAATGGACTCAAAGCAGCAAGTGAATAAATAATCCTTGTTACTCCCCACGTTTATCCTGCAGGCGTGGGATGCTCCAGCACCACTTTATTAGTGAAGAAAAAAACGACCACAGGAGCTTTTCTGTGTGCCCCAGAGATAAACACAGCGTGGCACAGTCTCTCAGCAGACTGCCACTGGAGGTGCTAGTAAGCAATTGGAGATTCCAGGACATCAAAAGCACAGTGTGTTATTTTTCCAAGCACAAACAATAACGAGGTTGCTTTGTGGGATGGTCTGTGAGATCTGTGCTGTTTCTGATGTTTGGATACTGGACTGTGCTTTGAGAAGTCGTGGTTTTGCAGCATGTGGCAGCGTGTGTCGGTGTCCTTTCTGCCTGCTGTGGCTGAGATGAAGTTGGTAGAGCACAGCTTTGGGGCTGTCATGGAGGGCTGACATGGCCCTTGTTCAAGGACTAAAGTAGCAAAGGATAAAAGGAGCAGCAAATCAGTGAGTTCAGAGGTTCTCAACATCTTTTATAGCATGACATATGAGTACAAACCCAAATCCTTCTGCAGGTTTCTCCTCCCTTCTTTTGAACTGTGAAGAAAGGGAAGGAGGTGATGATCTTTCAGCAATCCTGTTACTGAGAAACTTTCATCTGGCCTGTTGGTCCTGCTGATGAGGGATTATTGTTTGCTGTGGAATCCCTTAATTCTGTAATCGCGTGGAGCCCTGTGGCTTCCATGGGAGACTGTTACACAACTATAGTCAGGCTGTTAATTTAGACTTAATTTGGTTCCTAATATCATGTTCTCATCTTTGTAGATCAAACAGGCCACTATTTCCATGCTCTTCAAATTCTTTAAATTGCTGTCTAGCTTTCTACTTTTAAAGCAACGTTGCTTGGAGTTGAGTTTGTTATCTGAGTGACCCAAGTGACGATCTTATCCCCTCAGCTACTCCCAGTTGCCTTGCAGAGGCTAAAGCCAGTTTTCCAACCACTCTTTATCTATATTTGAAGCCCCATTATCTTGTTTCTAGCTCCTTGGCCTTGTAAAAATCAGATTGTCTTGGGTGATGTTTGATTTGCTGTGCTAAGGGGAGCCAGTCCTCCCTCTTGATGGCTATGGAGGGTTGAATGAAATGTGTGCTGAACAAGTGCAGGTCCAGCTGCGTGCCAGTGCAGGTGTTTTGGGGGCTGGCTGCCAGTGCAGGTGTTGGTTTGCAGTGCCCAGCTGGGGCTCAGAGCCATGGGCACCCCTGAGTGCAGAGCTGCAGGCTCCTGGGACCCGTGTCCATGGGGAATTTGTCTTCTGGCAGCAGACAGGGCAGATTTGGGAAGGGCTACACTATATACTGTCCAGATCTTCTGGTCTTTTCATTTTCCCACCAGTGTCCACCCCTTGCTGTTACTGGTAGTGGAGTCTGGGGCTGGATGAACCCTTAGCCTGACCCAGCAGAGTGGTTCTTCAACTCCTGAGGCTTCCCTTGACCTTGACATAGCCCTTCCCTACCTGTAAATAATTCAGTGTTTAATTCCTGCATTTCCTGCAGTACCTGTGTCAGCCAAAAGCCTTAATGAAGCTGACAAATCACATCCTTCAGCAGCCCAGACCCCCCAGGTCGTGACAGTTGTGGTGATTTCCCCGAGTGTCGCCTTCCCCGCAGGTGGCACCGCAGCTGTCACGGTTTATTTGCTGAGTGGCATTGATTATTTTTAGCACCACCATGGAGATAATGACTAAACAGTGGGCTGCCAGTGGAAATTATGCTGGAATCTTCTTCACTTAAAAATACTTTTGCAGTGAGTCTTGGGTATGCTGTGGTGCCAAAAGGTTTTGTGTTTCAAGGGGAAATTGGGCAAGTTGCCCACCTTGGACACAGTGAGGAAGGGTAAAATGGGGTGGCATTTAGCATGTATTAAATTGGAGAGAAATTTAGCATGCATTCAATTGGAGAGAAATTTTTCCCCCTTGAAATATAATTGCCTGAAATAAGTGTCCCTGCAGAGGCTTCTCGCTGACCTTCAGCACATTTTGGCAGCTGCTCTTGATCGGGTTGTGTGATGTTTTCTCGGCAGAGAGCAGCTGCCCAGGGTCATGTCTGAGGTTTTTCTAGCTCTCCTCTTCCCTCTGCAGGTGATGATTGTAGTGGGTGGGCAAGCACCCAAAGCCATTCGCAGTGTGGAGTGCTATGACTTTGAGGAGGAGCGGTGGGATCAGGTTGCTGAGCTTCCCTCACGGAGATGCAGAGCAGGTAAAGGGAACTTTTGCTGCCACCTTCTTTGTTTCCCTAATGCAGCTCTTCAGCACTGGAGGGATGTCCTTTGTCCTCCCTTTAGCTTTCTCTGTGCCCCTGGCCTCAAGCACCTCTTTCTTTTTGCCATGACTTCTTCTTTCCCTAGAGACATCTTTCCCTTCTTGTTCAGGTGGATGTCCTGCTCTCTAGTGGGGCTGCTCCTGCCTGTCAGCCCTCCCACTGTCTCCCCTTCGTCATCTCTCTCTCCTGGCTGCTCCTCCATCAGTGTTTCCTCTCCTCCTCCCCTGTTGCTGTCTTGACAGCCCACAGGGGTCCAGCTTTTCTTGCTGGGTTCCTTGTGAAAATCAAAGGAGCTGAGTCAGTCCCTCTTGGTGCGGAGGAGTGGGTGATGGAGAGCAGATCTTTAAGCTGAAAACATCTGACAGGGCTGTGAATGTGGCTCACCATTTGGTGTTCCCTCTGGCTCACAGAATTACTCACTCAGGTGTGAGCTCCATCTGTGCCTTGTGCTGCCATGTTTTTATGTGCATTCCACCTCCCACATGACACGCATGTTTTATCATGCTCGGCATTAACCAGCAGAAAACGCCGATTGACATCAACTCACGTTCCACTCTCCCCAGCCGCCTTTCACACCCTGGTGGCAGCATGTGGGCAGCTCCAGAGGGCTTGCTGTGACCCCCTCTCCCCTTTCCAGGCGTGGTGTTCATGGCTGGCAGTGTCTATGCCGTGGGGGGCTTCAATGGCTCGCTGCGGGTGCGCACGGTGGACGTGTACGACGGCGCCAAGGACCAGTGGACGTCCATCGCCAGCATGCAGGAGCGGCGCAGCACGCTGGGCGCTGCCGTGCTCAATGACCTCCTCTACGCCGTGGGAGGCTTTGATGGCAGCACTGGTAGGTGCTGGGCAAGCACCAGGCACTGCCTGGCCTGGCAAAAGGGATTTTGGAGGCCCTGCAGAGATTGCTGAGCTTTAGAGCGGTTCCTGTGCTCTTCCCCTGGGGTTCTGTAGAGAGGGAGCCAGAAATGGGGTTTGGTGTGTGTTGTAACTATCCATGTGCACGTTCTGACCTGTCAGTAATTGCAGAGAATCTCATCCTTATTTTCTTTTCCTTATTGTTTTCCCTATTTCTCTGCAATAAACCAAAATTATTATATTGCAGAGAATCGCACCCTTTATTATTTTCTTTCTTCTTATTTTTAGAACTGTGATACAGTTCTTTCAGCCTCATTCTCTGTGTGATTAAGCTTTTTCTGGGCTGAAAAGGGATTTTTTTCCTTGTTTAGTTAAATTTTTCATAGCAACATGAATAAAATACTAGCAAGGAATCTTACAGGGATTTGTCTTGGCATGGCTGCATGTTTAGATTCACACCTCTGCCTCTGCTGTAAAGCTCTGCCACTTGGTTAAGCCCTGAACTAACTATTGCAGCAGGGGCTGGGGGAATTTTTAAACCTTTGCATGGATGTTCTGGAATGCTTGAAAGGATGTGGGGCTTTTGGGCTTGGAATTTCGACTCTGCTCACCTTGGTGGCCTCAGCACATTGGAGGGGCAGCAGTCCCAGGGCAGGGGTGATGGGGTAACAGTTTTCCCGGCCACTGCAAAAGTGGCATTGCCATGCTGGTCCCAGCCTGAAAGGCAGGGGGTTAGGAAGTGGGATTGCAGGAGCATGGTGGGAATTACGGGCTTGGGAGGAGGTGGAAGGCAGATGAAAGTGCAACACCAATCTTTTTTTCTTCTCTTTTTTTTTAATTAGAAAACCTGTGTATCCCCTTTTTAACTAGGTCTGGCATCAGTTGAGGCCTATAGCTATAAAACCAATGAGTGGTTTTTTGTGGCTCCCATGAACACAAGAAGAAGCAGTGTTGGAGTTGGAGTTGTGGAGGGTAAGAAAATGAGCAGCCATTTCCATCAAGCAAATGTTACTTGTCAAACAGAAGCCTGAATGGTTAAGTGCAGTAGGAGGGAATGGCAAGAACTGTTCCCTGCCCCAGTTGGGAAAGATTGATTTTATATGATGTAATTGCTGCAACTTTTTCCATTCTCCTCTTTATCTTGGTGAAAAATCATGTGTAGCTTTCCAAGAGCCTCAGACCTGTATCAGACTAGCCCATGCCTCCTCAGAATGCAATCAGGTGTGTGCAGGTTTCTTTGAATCCTAATTCTGCTGGGCTGGATCTGGCTGGTGAGAGCCAGCACTGCTGTGAGCTGTGTGATGCTGCTGCTGCTGGCAGACGCTGCGTGGATGGAATACCCGTCATGGAAAATCTGCTCAGCCAGAGAAACAGCAGCAGAGTTTGTCCCACAGCCCCAGGCTGGTGGTTTGGCAGGAATGCTAAAACCTGTGTTTATTGACATCAGGCAGAGCTCTGCTGGGGTTCCTGGATGAGCAGGGGTGATGACAGCAAAGGCTGGGGCAGCTCAGAGCGGGGTGGGAGGCTGGGCAGGAGGGTGGCAGCTGCTGGCACCTCTGGGTCAGCACCAAACTCGGGGCAGCTGGAGCTGAGCAGCTTGGTTTGGACTCAGGAGAATTAAAAGTTTAAGTAGGAATCATTTTTTCCTTTACAAAATCTATTCTGAAGCAAGTGAAAGGCTTTATTTGAACTTGTCTTTAGTGTGGCATAGCACTTTCCTTAGTGCAGAGCAGCTTTGGCACAAGCCTTATTATAAACCATATAAACCATGATTTACAGTGCTTTGGTTGGACCTGTTTGAGTGGGAAGTACATGGAATATGTAAGTGTACATGAAATATGCTTATGTGAGAAGAACAAGGGAGATAAAGTCAAAATAAATAGTGGTCATTAACTTCAATTTGCATATTTAAGAAGCACCTTCTTCAAAATTGGCCCATGCTTGGGAAGTGCTGGGCTGCTGTCAGTCATTGGAATTTATTCAAGTGGCTTGAATGCAGAAAAAGTATTAAATATGGACCTGAGAGATGCATTTTCTACTGGAGACTCATAAAATCCTTTTCCTTTCCTTTTTTTGAAAACACAATTAAGTGTTGCATATGTTGGAGTCCAGGATAAAAATAATAAGGGCATGTGATGGGCACAAGAGCTGATCACACTGTTGTAGGGAGCAAGCTGCAGCCTGCAGTTAATCCACAGGGTTCATCTGAATGTGACAAAAATTGATCTGATGATCAACTATATACTGAAAATACCTAATAACCTATCCAGGGAAATTGATCTTGTCTTGCCTAGATTGACACTCTTGTCTGATTCACTGACAAATACCAGGCAGAACCAACAGCACAAATAAGAGCTTGAAATGTTCCTAGAGACAGGAAGATGCAGAAGGAGGTCATGAGTGGGCCTGAGGGAGAAAGAAAAGAGCCAGCCTGTTCTTGGAGCCTTGCAAGCATCCAGAAACAGGAGGATGCAAAAGCCTGAGGCTGAAGATAACTGCTGGTGGGAGTCTTGTGCATACAGAAAATTGCACAGCTCATTCATGGCCAGATTTTGCTGTCATTGATTGAGAATTTATATTATTTCTAGGTTTTGTACAAAAAATTAGGTTAGAATTTTTCTACATATTTGTCGAGCTTATTTTATGATATGATATTATATTAAAGAATACTATACTAAAACTTTACTAAAGAGTAGAGAAAGGATACAGACAGAAGGCTACAAAGAATAATGAAAACTCGTTACTGCTTCCAGAGTCCTGACCCAGCTGGCTGTGATTGGTCATAAAGTGAAAACAATTCACATGAAGCCAATCAAACAACCACCTGTTGGATAAACAATCTCCAGACCACATTCTAAAGCAGCAAAACACGGCAGAAGCAAATAAGATAATATTGTTTTCATTTTTCTCTGAGGCTTCTCAGCTTCCCAGGAGAAGAAATCCTGGCAAAGGGATTTTTCAGAAAATATGACAGTGACAGGTTTAGGTGTGTTCCCTAGAGCCACCTGAGGCAGGGCCTGTCCTGGGCTGGGCCTGTAGGTAAGCCTGGCTGTGTAAGAGCCTAAATGAGAGATGTGGGGCTCCAGGCAGCTCTTCAAAATGCAGTTTATTACATCCAACAGGTTACAGCAGTCCAGGGTCGTGGGTGACAGAGCCTGTGCCTACAGCTGTCATCTCCAGCTGCAGGCAGGCCTGGAGCTATTTTTGGTTACCTTGCATTATATACTTTTCTTTCCTGAGCATCTTAATACAGTGGAACCAATTGATACCTTAACTTTTATCTATAGCCTATCATAGCTGCTATAATTACCATATTCATGTTACTGTTCTCCAACGGCTAAAAGTATGTCACAGTTCAAGCCAGAAGTTGTTTTTCAGTTTTCTCACAGTGGAAAATTCTGAGGCCTTTTTTATACCTGCAACATTTGCTGACTTGTTTGTCTGTGCTATCTTTCTGCTTGGTGAAAACATCTTCTTGTTTATCCTTTGCTCTAAGTGGGTTTACCCTTTTATCTAA